AGGGTCGTCGGTGAGGATTGTGGGGCACAAACATTGTGGGCGGGGCCTGCTCCGAGGTGGGCGGAGTCAGACGAAGAATCTGTAAAATAGCTCAAGAGTACTTCAGACACCGGAAAAAAGTGGAGTACAGAACAAAAGGCGGATATCAGTTGAGTCTAGAAATGTGAAAGAAAGCACGCGCGGCGAAGCCGCGCCCGCCCGGCGCAGCCGGGCCGTATCAGAAGGAGCCGCGCCGGCGTCAGCCGGCGAGGCGACTGGTATATATAACAAGACTTACTAACTACAACTAACAGCGAGTGGCATCGTTCCGCTCATGTGGTGGTGGACTGGCCTCTGAGGACGACGATCCTGTCGAAACGTCAGGCCATTTCAATAAAGTCTTCCACCTACCAACCTCTTTGGCAGAACAAATTACAAACTTGAATGTTCACAGTTGTTGGGCAGCGTCCAGACTTTGCGACGGCAGCGCTTCTGTCGCGCGTTCGACAGCCCGAGACGGACTCATCCCGCCCTTCCCACGCTGTCCCCGAGTGGATGTGATTCTACGGGTAGCAAGGCAGTTTGCAGGGTAGTTTGTTAACGAGGGACACTCACATCGGCTGTTCATTCTCAGTTACCCAGTGAGGTCCCCCCTACCAACTTTGCAGAGAACACTACCCATGAACTCTGCTACCCTAGTTCGCGCACGCCTCAGAGGCAGACCCTACACCTCATCTTCTGAAGATCGTGGACCTTGCCAAGTCGACGTGAATGGGTCCGCAGCTGCAGTAGCATGCCTTTCTCTCAGCGCAGAAGTCCACGAGAACAGGCTGGAGTGTTATGATACCCAGGTGCCATTTCCGCACTCCGCCCGCGCTACCGAACAACAAGTCACGCGGCTTACCATAGCCAAGCGCGCTACTTGTCTCCGACCTCTCACTTCTGGTTTCGACGCCTCGAACTGTGGATTCACCACCTGATTCTGGTATCGACGCAAATGCTGCACGCGAGGATCACAAGCGGGGTCCAGTAGCGGCACATGGGTATCGGCCGTTCATCCTCGCTTTCGCGCGCTCTCGAATGACGAATGTGCGCTCTTCTCACAAATGGCAAGACCCGTTCTTGGCAGTGAGTGTAAAGTTTGCTTTTAGGGCTGCGCATCATGAGCAGGGTCTTTTTTGCTCCCTTTCATATGAATGTTAATGCTTACCAGTAGCGGTATCCTCGACAAGACGAACAGTTTCAACCGGAGTGCTTCTTTATCAACAGTTCCTTCATACTCGACCAGATCATAAACTACATCCACAATCTCCTTCGCTTTAGTTAAAGCTACCTTGTAGGAATCCGGATACACTGAAAAAAGAGATTTTACAGGAGAAAATACGTGCACTGTTAAAGTTACCTTTTAACTAAGCTGAACTTTGTCTTACAATGAGACAGGAAAAAAGTTAATGAAAATTCGCATTGGCATGCAGGCTACGAGCTATGCAAAAGGTGTAATTTGCACGCTTTCAAGCACGATCGATGCCCATCTATTCCCTCCATCGCAGTGGCGCCCTTCAACCCGACAGTCCGAACTCACGACCATCCGTTCTCGGGCTACATGTCTCCCTGCTAACTTCGGCAGAAAAAGAGAAACTTACTGACCTAAAGGGAGGGAATCTTTCTCTCCAGAAGTCCCCTTTTGCAGCAATGTGCACCCTTCTTAATAGGACAGGAGCCCCAGTTACCGCTGTTGCATATGAACACCGCTACGGTAGTTATGGCTGGCATGTATGCTAACCTGATATATCCATTCCAGCATGCAGCCGCTTCCTACATCCTTCGCTTCAATGTTTACCTAGCAAAATGAAGCCAGAAAGAGCATAAGGTATCGGTCGTGCATTTGTGGGCGGGCGGAGCTGGTGGGCGTCTGGTAGTAATTTTGTGACTTGATTAGGGACCTTATAATGGTACCTTCCTAGGAAAAACCACTACATAGCGCCTGCTCACGGTCGCGGAAATACGCCAGTCGTATCAATCCTACTCGTCTTAAGGGATTTATCGTGCTAACTGCCTTCAAGGAACCACGGCAAGACGAGGCAGGACTCCTTCCGGTTGCCTGTGGCAGCGACCCTTCCACTTGCTAAAGGTTCAGGCCTTATGCAGAAGGATGGATGCATTCGGGGAAGGATGCTGTCAAGCTGGAGAAGGCGGCCTAATGCACCTTCCCCCCCCTCCGTTACGCCCATAATTTAACTCTGCTGACACCGGCCTGAAAATGCGATATTCGTGTTCAGGGGGTCAAAGTACAAGGGTGGACGCTTTTGAAGAATTTAGGATTTTGGGAAATTCTCGCGCCAGGCATAAGCAACGAGCGGTTTCGTGCCAGACGGATGCAATATTCATGTGCAGGTGATCAAACTATCCCTTGAGCGAATGATTTCCCAATAAAGTTCTGACCCGAACTTCCGAAACTGGGCAATGAAGGGTGAATGCTGCCATTTTATGTCGGACGGCAGTTCCAACTAGTAGAACTGCCTTTATGGAGTTTTTTTTTATTTTGCGATTGCGGCCCCATAGCCCTATAGCGCTAGTTACCAAATCCAAACGAAAATTCGTAACGGATACGTGGCAGGCCCGGACTGCTGAACAAAAAGCGAAAACGTACCCATCTGCGCAGTGAGCTGATCAGATACTGTTCTCAAAAGATATCCCAGAAAAGGAATACGACGATGTTCTTCCTGGATATAATGAGTTATTGGCAAAATTTAAAGAACCTTGGTTTAAAGTAACAACAAGAGAACTTACTACACACTCGTATACATAGTAAATGTCCGGAGATTCCAATGCTAGTAGCGTGTGGAAAACCTTTGGATTATTGGGCCATAGCGAGCCCGAAAATACTGATTTGCAAAAGTCTAGGAGAGAGCTGTCTACTGCTAATGGTGGATCAGGTGGAACCCTAAACCAGTTGCATGTTACAAAGTAGAGTAATTTCTAATGAAAAATGATGAAATTCACATCAACTCTTCATCCAACATTGCTAAATCTATCTCCTCAAGTGAAGTGCCAGACAACGAAGCACACAATCTAGCGACGTACCTAGAATTAAGAACGATTTAGCACATGTTTTTTGATGGCACTGCTCCTCTAGTGAGGTTCTGCAACCAGTGCAAAAGGTTTAATAAGTACGGGCTGAGCCTGCGCCTTGAATGAGACCGTCATGGAGATGAGAACTTTTGTCTCAAGTTAAACTGCACACTCATTTCCGTGGACAGTGGTCCTTGCCAAGTTTGGGGTGAATAAGTACACAGCTGCAGTAGCGCCTCTTTCTA